GGCCGCCTCCACCGGTCTTCTGGCCCACTGTGCGGACTGTCAGCTCGACACGGCGACGCACACCGAAACAAGACCAAACAGTTTCAATCCATTTTTTTTTTCCCACTTGCACTCGGTATTCATTAAATTTAATTGATCTTTTTCCTCATTGCCTCGTTATTTATTCCACAGATGCCACTGTTCCCCAAGCGAGACACCTGTGGTTTCCTTTGATATTTTTTTTTGCACGAGGAAAAACGGCTATTAAAGGCGCGCGGGGAAGGCCTATCTGCGTGAGGCCTTTCACGGCATTCCCGCGTCTCGTGCGCACTTCCGTCTATCCACGAAATGACGTAAGGCCGTGTCTCCGTCCTTGTCGTTCGCGGCGGGCTGGCCGCGAGTGCGAGAGAGACGGAAGGCGCGTTGAGATGCTTGAGGTCCTCGTGGTTCTCGGTCGGCCGCACCGCACAGTGGGCCAGAAGACCGGTGGAGGCGGCCAAAACTCTGGACCGTTTTGAGCTCCAGAGTCGCTAAACAGGACTCGACCCGAACGTCTGAGCCCACCAATGGATCGCTCCCCGAACCAGGAATCCATTGGTGATGTCACACGTTTGGTCCGAGTCCCGTTTAGTGACTCTGGACCTCAAACGCGTCTACAGTTTCGACCGCCTCCACCGGTCTTCTGGCCCACTGTGCCGCACCGCGGACCCGAATCCGGGAGGGCTAAATGGGCCGCACGCCTTGGCACGCCGAAGCACGCCACGCTCAAAGCGGGACGCCTCACTGGAAGCTGCCGCACTGTAAAACACCCACACCACAACACACTGGAAACAAAAGTCCAAACGATCAGAATTTTTTTGGTGTCCTTATGGTAACTGTTTTTAAACGTTGTGTCGTGTTCTATTTAGTACAATGCCACTGTATTTTTCAATCTGACTCCTTTAAAAGATAATCTCTAGTTATAAAAAGCTTGCACATAGGGCGCCTCAAGAAACAAAGCCAACAATAGTCAGCAATTTAATTGAATTCAAGGACAGCTGTGCAGGTACACTGCAAACAATCGGGTACCAAGTCCGCTGGTACACAGACCACGCCGAAACCGCTGGGCCACGGGGTCGCCCAAATCCATGCCATTACCTACACAAAGCATCGGCCACTTCGGTGTGACGCTATAATAGCATGTACGTGAAACCCTGCCTCACCGCGCCCCGCCCCTATTTCCGGAAACCCAATACAATCCCACAACACATCGACATGTTATTGTGTCCGCCAGGCACCGTGTGAACCGCCCCCGGCCAGAGAAAGGTCGAACCTCTTTTTTTTTTAAAATCGACTTTAAAAAAAAGTATTTTATGGCGCAGGTGTGCCTATAACATGAGCGTGTGTGTGTATGCATGCGTAGGTCGCCTGGGGTCGCGTGGCTGAAAGAGCAGGTGGGAGCGTTTCGTCGCTCTGTGTGTGTGTGTGTGTGTGTGTGTGTGTGTGTGTGTGTGTGTGTGTGTGTGTGTGTGTGTGTGTGTGTGTGTGTGTGTACGCAAAGGGGGCGGGCTGAGTAAGTGTTGGTGTGTTTTTCCTCCTGAGAGTCTGGACGTTGCCACACGAGGCCCCACTGCCGTGTCGCAGGGGCTTCCCCAAATAATCCGTGGCTCCGCTCGGCTCCGGCGTCGCTATAGAGTCGCTAGATTCACCGTCGAAGCGACTGCCCCGGCTTTCGATTATCTCGCTTCGATTGGTGCCCGGGGCCAACGAGGGGCGGAGGGGCCACCAGGCACGCGCCAATCTGCATATGCAAGCGTGCAGCCCACACCTGGCTAGGCGGCCTGGCCTGGCAGGCCCCCGGCTGCAATCTCCGCCTGTCCGTCTGTCTGTCCTCTCGTCTGTCCTTCTCGTTCGGAGAGCAATCCATTGGTGGGGTCACACGCTCGGTTCGAGTCCCATTTAGCGACCTCTGGAGCTCAAAATGCGTCTGGAGTTTTTGCCGCCTCCACCGGCCTTCTGGCCCACTGTGCACTGCGCGCCTCGTTGAACCCGGCCCTCTCCTCGGTGTCCCCGTGAGTGTTCTTCCTTCTGTTGCGCTCCATTGTCGCGTTAAGAAGAGCAGCGTCACCTTGGGACGCGCGATGTGTCAGGTCGAATGCAAATGAAGTGTTTGGTTTAGCGAGGGTCGCGTCGTGCCTCTGCGCGTGCGCGCGTGCGCGCGCGCGTGTGTGTGTGTGTGTGTGTGTGTGTGTGTGTGTGTACGTGTGTGTAAAGGCTAACCCCTGTGTGCATCCTTGGCGTTGCAGGCGAGGTCCCTTAAGCAAGCTACCCCCCCCCCCCCTTGCTTTATGCATAAGGAAGGATCCGGGTAATCAGAAGGCGACACTACCACGCCCAAGGCGGGTCCCCTTCAACACCCCACAGATAAAGCACTCATTTCAGGCAATCTGGTCATTTTTAAAAAAAAAAACTTACGCCTCAGGCAAAAGTTGCAGGTGGTGGTCATATTTCAAATCCTGCGTCCTAAATCACCCTATCATTACGACCACCACCCTTTTTAAGTCCTAGCAATGGGCCGTTTAACGATGGCAGCGGCCTCTATAATCAGAACCGCTTTTTTCCGCCTCGCGCTCTGCCCGAATGCACGGCCCTGCTGCATGGCAATGCATGCCACACAATCAATCACAGTCCTCAATCTTTCCTTTTGCAGTTTTGTACAGTGTCGTGACCACGTCAGATAAACAAAGCGACGAAATCACTGTTTTGGAATTTCAGGCCGCAGCTTCACGTGGATTTCCCTCAAGGCCTCCTGCGGACCTTTTCAGGGCTCGTCCTGCGCTATTGTCAATTCCCCCCCCCTCCCCCTTCCTCAAATCGTGTTTCCCTTTTCCACGCCGATGGCGCCTAGTGTAGGTGCGAGGGGGGCGATTATTATCAAGACAAAGACGCGGTGATCTGTCTTCGCAGTGCGTGTGCCGGAGTGTGTGTGTGTGTGTGTGTGTGTGAGAGAGAGAGAGAGAGAGAGAGGGGGGGGGGGCGTGCGTCGAGTGCGAGAGAAATGGGTCCTTGAAGTGAGAGCCGTGTGTGCGCGGATCCCTCGGCACGGCCTAAGAATGACAGACCTGTCTAGCCTCGCGAAATGAGTTGCTGCGAACCCTCCTCTGCCTCCCTGGGCTGGGCCTGGGCTCCCAAGGCCTCGGGGTGGGTTAGGCCGGGCTTAATTATGCAATGCTCGGCCTTTAATTTGCCCACCCAATTCGTCCGGCACCTGGCAAGGCGCCCCCTGACGGCTGCGGCGTCAACCGGCGAACAACTCGAAGAAAAAAAAATGAAAAAGATTATTTTTTAAAAAAATATTGGTTTTATTTTTGGCTTAGGATTGGCCACCGCGGCAGAAAGATATCTTATTCGGCGTGATGCGAGCATGATTCGAGTCCCTTCGAGTCGGTTTGTCGTCCCAGCGCCGGCTGCTGTTGCCCGGCAGTCTCTCCGTCTTGATTCCGTCCGCAATGCGATCATGGGCCCGCCTCTGAATTATCCCTTCTGATTTGCCGTTTACTGTTGCCGGGCTGTCGGGCAAGGATTTCTAAAGGCCGAAGATAAACGGACGCGCCGCGCTGGCCCCACGCTAGACGCCACCATTCAATCTCTGTCTATCTGTCTGTCTGTCTGTCTGTCTGTCCGTCCGTCTGCGTGTGTCTCTCTCTCTTTCTCCCCCCGCAACATCCCCGCGAAGAAGATGCGCGGCCCGGGGAGCTCGACGGTGTCCTTTTTAGCGACGGGGGGCTTCCTGTCAGGACCTCTTTCAAGTGATTTCGTTTGAATGGCATCGGGGCGGACAGGCCGACTAACCCCGCCTCCGCCCCAATCCCTCCTCCATCCCCCACTTTCGGCGTATCCTGTGTCTCCCCCTAGATCCCCCTTTTATCCACGGGGGGCCTTACGTCTCGCAAAGACACACCAGCTCAGCCCCCCACCCCCTTTTCCAGTGGCGCTGCCGCTGCGCCTCCTGGCCGCAAGCCCCGCCGCCACGTTTTGTTATTTTGCTTTCTGGCTAGGCCTGCTCGGGCGGCCCGCAAATGTTTTCCGGGAACTCTGCGGGACGCCGATCGGCTTCCCTTCCTGTTGGCCGCAGCGGGAGACCCTCCCCCCCCCTATCGCCTCTCATTAGGCCCTGCGGAGGGACACCCCCCCCCCCCTTCCGGTCCACCCCTCCCTCAGGGTTCTTATCGAATCCTGGCACTGCCGCGACGGTCGAAAGGAAAATTGGTGCACTCCAGGATCGTTTAGACCCTCGGGAAAAAACCATCGTAGACGGAAAAAGATTTTGACCATTGCCAACATTCAAATCTCCAATAAATAACATTTTCTTTAAAAGAGGCAAAGTTGCTACTCCGGCGTGCTCTGTCAACAGTTGGATCAAATCGACGAAAAATTGATTGAGGATATTATTTTTGCAATAATAGTAATTTTATCACACCGAACATTCTTCACTAAACGCGCTAAACGCCAATAAAAACGCAAAAAATTGTTAATTTTTTCTCCTGGCAAGACGCTTCTGCTGCGGTAGAGCCACCTCGGGGTCGCGACGAAGATGAAAGTAAAAGACGGAGGCGCGAGCCGTACGGGACTTAGCATGCTGAGGGCAGACCTCTCCCTTCAACTTCGCGCGAGTGCTCGGCTGGCTTTTGCCTCAGACGACGGCTGGAGTCCTTGCAGAGCGGCGTGTGGACAGGCGGACTCGCGGCGCACTCAAAGACACACACACACACACACACACACACAGAAATACGAATTAATGGGTGCCTCGTTCCAGAGACGGTTTAATTCCGAGCTGCATGTGTGTGTGCGTGTGTGTGTGAGCATGGAATCACCAATGGCCGCGGGCCGTGGGGTGGGTCTGTGTGCGGATAGGTGCGCGGGAGCGACAAAAAGAGAGACGCACTCACACACTGGGCGCGTCGCCCGAGTCGAAAATAATCTCCTCGTCCATTCGAGATGACGTCATCGTGACGTAACACAAATTGTTTCGTCTGTTGCAGCGTGACCAACTACTTCCTGGTGAACCTGTCGTTCGCCGACCTGCTGGTGACCCTCATCTGCATGCCCATGGCGGTGGGGCAGAACGTGTCCAAGCTGTGGATCTACGGCGAGGTCATGTGCATGCTCACCACCTACTTCCAGGGTTCGTATCCAGAGAGAGAGTAAGGGGGTGGGGGGAGGGTATTTTCAGTGTATAAAATGTTTTATATGGTGGATTTTGAAATTAACAATGCTTGCCAGAAGGAATAAAGAGACAGAGAGAGAGAGAGAGAGAGAGAGAGACGTCACAGAGAGACAAAGAAGGTTTTTCTTATCGTTCGCGTCACTTCTTGGAACTGGAGTATAAACAACCCCGACCCAGTTTCCACCATGACGTCGCCAACGAACGGTCCCTTTCCGCGAGGCGACGATTTTTAAACGCGATACACATCTTTTCCTTGGCCGGCCCGCGACTTGCTCGGGCTGACCTCGACGCCGCGGCGAGGGATCGAAGCGAGGGATCGAAGTGACTGCTGCTGCTGCTGGCAGTGCTGGCATCGCGTCGGACCAACTTCCCTCCATGCCGCGAAATAAATTTGAATCTCCCGCCGTCCCAGATTCGGTACCCGTACCCGAATCCAGCCGGGCCGCGTCCGCGCCTCTGCCGTCTCTCTCGCACCCCCGCGGGACGCCCGGGGACGCCCGGGGCGCCGTGCGTGCGACGGAGTCAGAGCGACCCTTCGGAATCAGTCTGCGGCGCTGCGGTGTTTGAGGAGTGAACCTCCTGTCGACCGTGAAAGAGCATTCCCGTTCCTCTCCCCGAAGGGCCTCCCCCCGAAGGGCCTCCCCCCAAAGGGCCTCCCCCCAAAGGGCCACCCCCCAAAGGGCCTCCCCCCCAAGGGCCACCCCCCAAAGGGCCTCCCCCCAAAGGGCCTCCCCCCAAAGGGCCACCCCCCAAAGGGCCACCCCCCAAAGGGGCCCCCCCCCAAGGGCCCCCCCCCAAAAGGGCCTCCCCCCAAAGGGCCCCCCCCCAAAGGGCCTCCCCCAAAGGGCCTCCCCCCAAAGGGCCACCCCCCAAAGGGCCTCCCCCCAAAGGGTCTGACGGTCTGACGCATTACCCTATCAATTTTCCGCAGCGGTTTTCCGCTACCCGCTGCAGGAAAGTACTCCCTACTCCACGAGTCTCACAACGCGGAGAGGCAAACGCTGTAATGCGGGTATGCGAACCCCAGACGTGTCAGAGAGAGAGAGAGAGAGAGAGAGAGAGAGAGAGAGAGAGAGAGAGAGAGAGAGAAAAGAGAGAGAGATGGGGGGGGGAGAGAGAGATGGGGGGAGAGGACGACATCGACGACTCGGGCGAGGGCGTGGGCGTGTTTTATTGAGGTCCGCGGAAGAGCCCGCAAGTCGGCGTGGGTGCGACAGAGACAGAGAGACAGGACTTGTTGCGTTTTTCTTTGGCGTTTGTTGCCGCTGGCACCGCGGACCCCGATTGGCGGTGCGATTGGCCGAAGGGACGCCGACGGCCAGACGGACGGCCTGGAGCTGCTCCAGCACCCCAGCACCGCTCCAGCACACGGTGGGCCAGAGGGCCGGTGGAGGCGGCCAAAACTCTAGAAGCGTTTTGAGTTCCAGAGTCGCTGAACAGGACTCGAACCGAGCACGTGACCCCACCAATGAATTCCTCGTTCGGAGAGCAATCCATTGGTGGAGTCACACGTGCGGTTCGAGTTCCATTCAGCGACTCTGGAGCTCAAAATGCGTCTTCAATCTTGGCCACCTCCACCGGCCTTCTGGCCCACTGTGCAGCAGCACCGCTCTAGAACTGTCAGAGCGACGGCTCCAGCGAAGCTCCTGAACTATCTCTGATACGCGTACCAGTTGGGGCTTGAGTCGGGGGTGCCGGAGGCACGCTGGAGGCTCGCTGGAGGCTCGCTGGAGGCTCGCTGGAGGCTCGCTGGAGGCTCGCTGGAGGCTCGCTGGAGGCTCGCTGGAGGCTCGCTGGAGGCTCGCTGGAGGCTCGCTGGAGGCTCGCTGGAGGCTCGCTGGAGGCTCGCTGGAGGCTCGCTGGAGGCTCGCTGGAGGCGGCGGCCCTGTGGCCTTTTCCTGTGACACCTGAGCCGGCGGCGGGCGGGGCGGCGGGGCGGTGGCGGCCTCGGGTGGAGGGGTCCCGGGGGCAGCCCGCCAGCGAAGGCCTGGCCCGGCCGGGCCCCAGGGACGGCTGGAATCTGCGGCTAGATGACAGGTGGACGCTTAGCCGCGGACACGCGCACAGCGGGTAGACTAGCCTTTGTTGACGACACACTGTTTGAAAAATCCCACAAAGACAGGAATGGAGACGCCTGCGAGGTAGGCAATGCAAGGTATCGAGACATGGCAGTGTGGCGGGTTGCCTACCCTCCCGTTGACAGGCGCTCTGCGGTTTACCGAGCTTTCGACCGGGCTGGGCTCAATTTATTGGCTCCATTTATGGCCAGTGTTTTGGTGCTAGCGGGGCTGGTTCTACATTCCAGAACTGCATGCATAGCAAATTTGAGCTCTAGAGTCATTAAATTGGTCTGGAACCGAACGTGTGATCCCACCAATGGATTACTCTCCAAACGAGTAATCCATTGGTGGGGTCACGCGTTCGGTTCCAGTCCTGCTTAGCGACTCAGGCGCTCTAAACGCGTCAAGAGTTTTGTCCGCCTCCGCCGGTCTTCTGGCCCACTGTGCAGTGTCTCATACAAATGAATGAGAAATTCGGGTCACACCCGCTGCTGGATCGCACGTTCGGCCGTCCGGGCGCTACAATAAGTCCGCTGTGTTTCTAGCCGGGCTCGGCCGGGCCAGATGGACTGGGATGGCGAAGCAGGCGAAGCAGGCGAAGCAGGCCAGGGTGATGCAACTCACGAAGAATGCCCGGGGCGTCTCGGCGAAATTGGATTCAAGGATCCCGAAGAAGCGAGCAGTCGGCCTCGCTCGGACAGCCTTGAGGCGCCTCACAGGCCTCCGTCTTCGAATCAGCTGCTGCGGTGTCCCCATTTCTGCTTGTCTTTGTTTGTTTTGTTTTTCTCCTGCGGGCGCGTGGGAACGGGTGCGCGAAATCTGCTGAGGGTGCGGCCAGAGAATATGGACGAGGGATTGGCAGCCCGTCGCAGGGTCAGGGCCGCGTGGTAGTGTAGCAGCAGACCAGCGGCCAGAAGACCGGTGAAGGCGGCCAAAACTCTGGACGCGTTTTGAGCTCCAAAGTCGCTAAATGGGACCCGAACCGAGCGTGTGACCCCACCAATGAATTGCTCTCCGAAAGAGGAATCAATTGGTGGGGTCACACGTTCGGTCGAGTCCCATTTAGCGACTCTGGAGCTCAAAACGCGTGTGGGGTTTTGGCCGCCTCCACCGGTCTTCTGGCCCACTGTGCGTCGGAGCCTCGGTCGGAGCAGTGTAGCAGGGTACCAGCAGGACGGGCCGGGGGGAGGGGGTGCAGTAGGTCGGGTCCTAGGCAAGCAGGGGTGTAAGGAGCGCCTCGCGGGAAGAGAGCAGCAACCCCAGGCCGTGGGACCCACAGGCTGAATAAGAGGGGGGGGGGGGCTGCCCTCGGCGCTTCCAGTGGGCCTGCCAGTGGGCCCTCCATGGGGTCCGCCATGGTAAGCCGATTAGCGTTTGGTCTGCGAGTGGAGAGGGGGGGGGGGGAGAGAGCAACCGATAAACACGAGTCTCCTTATTGCTGTTCAAAATGCTCGCGAGGCTCACGCTGCACCCGCCTTATCCAAAACTGTTTTAGTCGCCAAGCGATGACCTTCGACGCGGCAGCTAGATTTTATGATGTTGACACAGGGCAAGGAATCTAGCCTGCGGAGGGGACAGACTTACCACAGAGCTTGGTTCACTGCACTGTTCTACTTCACCCTACTCCCGAATCTCCCCACTCCCCCAATCATGGACACCCCAAGTGGTCTCTCGAACAAAGCTAATTTAATTCGCGCAACCTATGAAAGTTTGTTTTAACGTCTCAAGTAAATGTTCCAGAAACTGTTTTTTTCATTTTGGAGATTGCAGCGCCCGGCGCAAAATGGCCTGACAGGTATCGAATCCGGCCGGCCCGCCCAATCAAAGCACCGTCCATTTTCCGGGCGCCGTCGACCAAAGCTCCACCTGCGCGGCGTGTCCACCAGAAGCCCCGCGTTCCCCGCGGTGCGCTGCGGTCTGCGCTCGCCGACCCGCCGACCGCAGATGGCTCAGACGAGCCGCGGTGTCGCGCGCCGTTTCAATAAAATATTTAAATCCGGACGCTTTTCTCTAAATTGGACCGGCAGCGCAATTCCGCTTGGCCGGCTTTTTTTTTTTTTTTTTTTGAGGCTGTGACGGCCGCAGCTGTTTGAAGACCCGGCGGTGGGGTGGGGCACCGCTAATTTGGGCAGCAGCAATGCACGCGGCCGGACTGGGGCAGAATGTCGGTGGCGTGAGTTCAAGAGCAAGTGCACTGGAAATAAAAAATGACCTGACATGTTTCGTAATTTTCCTGCACCACCGTTTTCTGCCAGTGTGGCACGAAGAGCGCCAGAGCGTGCCGGCGAAAAGAACGCCCTGCAAAAACCGGCCGACACCCGCAAAGAGAAGAACAAGTGCACAAAAAAGTCTCTTGTCTTTTTTTTAATTGAGGGAAAAAAACTAGACTGAGAAGGCGCGGTTCGGTTTCGGGGGCAGTCGCTCCATGGCCTCCTAAGCCGGAGCGCGGCGGGGGGCTCGGAGCGCGCCACCCGTAAATCATGCTAAAGTGGCGTGAAGAGGATCTTGCATCTCCGCTGCGGTGCAGTGCCTGACCAAGACCAACAACAAAAAGAAAGGAATGGAAAAAAGGACTGTCACGATGCTGTCAAGGTTGATCCACTGCACGGATGTCCCCTTTCCTCCTTGGGCTCGTGTTATTGAGGTAAAATCGGGAATGATGATTGTTCAGAGGTCTGGAATTATTTTGTCAGGCGACAGGACTCGAACCGAACGTCCCCACCAATGGATTCCTCGTTCGGAGAGCAATCCATTGGTGGGGTCACAGGCTCAGTTCGAGTCTTGTTATCGTCACTCGAGCTCAAAACGCGTCCAGAATTTTGGCCACCTCCACCGGTCTTCTGGCCCACTGCTGCGGCCCTCCTCCACCACACCGCGGGAACCGCGCCAATTTCAAATGGACCGGCGCAGAATCAGATCGACTGATCCTGTTAAGCAGCCGCCCTTCCACGCCACCTCCAGTTTTTGTTTTGTTTATTTAATATTGTTTTTGTTTCCGCCGCCGACCGAGGCACGCCGCATTCCCCAGCGGAAATTATCCTCAAAGGCCACAGCTGCTTACGGTGTAGTCTCCTTTCGCCTTTTCCTTCCAGGCCGGCCGGTTCAAGAAAATCGTTGCCTCTATGTTTCGGGGAGTAGATTCTTCAAACACCAATCGCTGACAAAAAAAATGTTCTGGCCGAACTTCAGTGCCTCTGCCAAGTCCCCGCAATGGAAACAGGCTGGACCGCTGTCCTCGTTGATTTACGCTGAGGGATCCTCTCTATTTATTTTTTATTTTTCCCAAACTGCCAGCAGCTTTTGGGAACGCAGACGACCGTCTCGGCCGAGCGGACACGCGCCGAGCAACGCCCCAGTCCGCTGCATTTTTCATCCGCAGCAACCCTTCGCCAGCCCAGCCATCTGCTTGGATATCCCCAGTCAGAGAGAGAGAGGGGCTCTTTCTCTTATCGCCTTGTCCTTGGATAGCGAGGCCGAGGCCCCGCGGAGGGCCGGCGGACTAGGCCGCCTGGTCGTCGGGGCCCCGAAGTGGCCGATATCCGAACGCACTGCCTATTACTGCTGGCCTCGACACGACGCCCCAGGCTGCCCCAGGCTACCCCAGGCAGACTCGTCCCCGGTCCATGTCCCACGGCGGGACAACCAGGCACTACACAACAAGTACTCCGCGAGCAATCCAGACTGAATGCCTCCCCGGTCGTGCACGGGGGGCCAGAAGACCGGTGCGGTCAAAATCCCGGACGCGTTTTGAGCTCCAGAGTCGCTAAATGGGACTCGAACCGAACGTGTGACCCAATCAATGGATTGCTTTCCGAACGAGCTCAAAAGGCGTCCGGGGTTTTAGCCGCCTCCACCGGTCTTCTGGCCAATCCACTGTGTGGGCCGTGGCGGCGATCGCGCCGACTTGGCGCTGGGCTTTCGTCTTTCGCCACTAATAGCTCGGCTGTGTCGCTGAGTGAGCGGAGCCACGCCTCGGCTCGCTTCGCCACGCGCTTCGCTACGCGACGGGACTACCAAGTGCGCGGGGCGTCACCGCGGTCGCGTCGCGGGGGCGGCCGGGGCGGCGGGGGCGGCGGGGGCGGCGGGGCGGCGGGGGCGGCGGGGCGGCGGGGGCGGCGGGGGCGGCGGGGGCGGCGGGGTCGGCGGGGGCGGCCGGGGTGGCGGGGGGCGGCCGGGGCGGCGGGGCGGCGGGGCGGCCGGGGCGGCCGGGCGGCGGGGGCGGCGGGGGCGGCGGGGGCGGCCGGGGCGGCGGGGGCGGCCGGCGCGGCGGAGGCGGCGGGGGCGGCCAGGGCGGCCAGGGTCACCGGCCCCACTCGCTCCAAGTCCACTTAGCGCCCACTTCGGCAAGTTTGAAGGCGGTTAGGGCGCTTTTCAAGTTATTAACACGCTCTCCGCGACCCGCCCAGTAAAGCTATTTATCGGTCCAGTTCCTGGTCATTGTTCGTTTCACCGGCCGCACCTTGAGAGGCCCGAGAGTTGGACGTTGCTGCCGGACGCTGCCAACCTAACCCCCTGCCCCTTTCCCCCTAAAAAAGACTGGTAACAAGCCATGCAGGGTTAGACTCAGTGCTGAAAAATCTGGAACCTGGTTTCTCGAAGAGGCGGCTTGGAGATCGAGAGAAAGTGACTTGGCACCCTATATTGGCCCCTGGCACCATGTCCTTCCACACTGCAATTAGACACCCATGGTGAATCCATTGTGCCTATGGTCGTGAAGGGGTGACGGTCGATCCGTGGTGACAGGCCATGGACAATCCGGTGGGCCCATGGGTCCATCCCATAACAAATGGGCAACCAATGGTCATCCAGACGGTCCATGGACGGCCAATTGACAATGGCTTCCTCGTGCATTAAGTCCCATTAATTTTCAGCAAAACCCTTTTAACTTTTGAACCGTTTGTCCGAAACAAATCTGATTTGAATTGGTGAGCGCGAAAAGGTCTGTAAGCCACCATATAATTCGGACTTGGAAAGACGTTGAATAGTGAGAGGACTTTGCCAGAGCATATGCAGCCAGTGTGGCCCTCCATGGCCGTCAGGACTGTCCATGGATATAGATTCCCTTGTCAATTTCCCATGGACCGACCATGGATCGCCCATGGGCGCCTCACCAGGGCAGCCCCTATATTTTATATTTTCTTTCCTCTTTACGTCTTTTTTGTGGTAATTGTCGCTCGCCGAGGTGGTCGTGGATTAGGGGGGCGTTTGAAACGGTTTGGTCAGGAAAGGCCGTTTGCCACAGCCGGCGGGGCGGGGCGGGGCGTGGCGTGGCCTCGTGTTCGCTCCGGGTAACGCTTGGATTCCCTTGGCGGGTGTCCAGCGCGGACGAGACACGCCCCCGCGGCCCCAGCACCCCCCCCCCCTCACCTCCAGACCCACGCATCCCCAAGAACCCCTCAGCGATTCCCCCACCCCCAGCCCCCCACCCCCAGCCCCCACCCCCCAAAGTCCCACCCTCGCAACCTCCAGCAGCAGTCAGTACCAGCAATAACCGTTCCACCCATGCCAACTGAAATACAGTAGGTTTTTTCATCCAGCACAGTGGAAAGTCTACGAAGCATCGCTTCGGAGTACGAAACGAACGAGGCAATGTAAGAGCGAGAAAGAATTAAGAGAAACAATTAAGAGAAAGCAAAATTGGCTGTTGCCCTGCCACCCTTCTCCACACAACTCTGCACCGCACGTGCTCACCTCAGCTCAATCTGCACACACCCACACACGCAGGCGCACACCTACACACATACACACGCACACACACGCACCCCGGCCAACTTCATCGCAGTCCCCACTGACCGTCTGGCCCCACTGACCTTTCCCCCTTGACCCCCACCCCCCGGTCTGTCCACGCATGGCCCCAGCATGGCCCACACACGGAAGCACAGAGAAAGGAGGCGAAAGAGACGAAGACAGGGAGTCACCTCCAGTACCTCTAGCCGCCAGGCCGCCAGGCCATGGCCAGGCCACGCTGCAAAGGTGTGGCTGGCTAGTCCCACCAGTCCTGGTCCGCTTGTCCCTGCCGAAAAGCCTTGATGAAAAGCCTTGTGTTTCCTTTTCATCGCAGCAGCGCGGAGGGGGGCTGTAGGCAGCTGTGGGCCGCCGGCTCGGCTGCTAGGCTCTCCAGTCGGCGGGCGCGTAGTGGCGCGGCGTGACGAGTTTTGTCGCGTGGGTCGGCGCAAATCCACGAGCCCCGAGTCACAACACCGCCAAAGCCTAAAGGCAACAACTTAAGCGGAAGTTGTGTTTATGGAGAACGCGGCCTGTGAGCCGTCCTCTTTTTAGGTCACGCGTGTGAAAGCTTGAGCTGTAGCTCGTGAAATAGAGTGGGCGGGTTTGATTTGGTTTGACTTTCTGGGTGGGCCCTGCAACCCACGGCCGGAGTGTGACTGACAGTGTAGGCTCTCCCTTCGGATTGGCCCTCGAGCTCGCGAGGTACTTAGCACGTCAAATGGGGCGTTAAAATGGACCCTTCGAGACACGGCACCACCCTGGCTGGAATCGACTCGATAATTCGTCAATCTCACAACAGTGAAAAAAGTTCAGACCTACCCTGTTAGGTTGACTCGACTCGACTCGACTAGATTTTATCGAAGAATTCATAGAGGACAGGCAAATGATGTGTTATTATTAACCGCTTCATCGCTGTCTCCCTCGCGCCCCTAGGGGACCCAGGGGGTGCAAAGGAGAGCACTGTGGGGAGTGTGGATCACCCCACGTGCCTCGCGTGCGAGCGAGAGGTATGCCCGGGTAATGAGTCTGGGGGTCTCTTTGATGATCATTCTATGCAGAGTCTGTCTTTTTGCCCCCTCCCCCGCCGACTCGCTGTGCATGTCTTTGGCGCAAAGTTTGCCACCACGGATCTCTGGTAGAGCCCTTCTCTGATTCGAGTCACGAGTCCTGTCCCCGTCGCACCGACTCGGCCGCGCGGGCTGGCCCCGGCCCGGCCCCAGTGGTGCCACCACATCCGGTGCACCTCTCTCTCCCTCTCTCCTCTCTCTCTCTCTCTCTCTCTCTCTCTCTCTCTCACCCTCCCCACCTCCCACTCTCGCTCGGGATGAGACGACGGTGTGGATTTCCCTAAATAGAGTCTGCCGAAAGTTACCCCCTGGTATATTCAAAGCGCATCGTGGGGGGAAAAAATTGCTGGTTGCGTTTGCCAAATGTGATCTCCTCTCTACGACAAAAATATCGGAGACCGCAACGGTGAAAGATCATCCTTGGATGTGGTCTGGGACCGGAAAGAGTCCAGCCGACCCAGAAAACAATATACTCTGCGGAAGCGAAAGATTCGCAGGCAGTGCTTCGCTGAGAGAGAGAGGGGGGAGGGGTCCGGCAGTCTGTTCGTTTTCTTGTTGTCTGAGTGGTTGTTGGTTGTTGTTGTTGTTGTTGGCGTTGGCGTTGTTCCTTCTGGTGCACCACCCACGAGGAACTTTGAGTCACGTATCGAGGCCGGCAGCTACTCCACTGTTATGCCCCCCCCCCCTTACTCTCGCTGACCAATGACCCGTTGGCTTCTGATGCAGGTGTGTCCGTGTCGGCCTCCATCTTCACCATCACTGCCATGAGCATCGACCGCTACCTGGCCATCCGACACCCCATGGCGTTCCGGAAGGTGTTCAACCGCAAGTCCACTACCATCGTGAGTAGAATACAAACAAAAAACGGGCGGAAACATTTTTTTTTTCATTTTACATTTGGTCGCGAGCGGATGTTGTGTGGACGCGTTCTTTTGCCGGTGCTCCGGAGATTGAAGCTCGTGTCTTCCCTCATTGTTGTTCCCCCGATCTGTTCGCCCACGGGCGAGCGCCTGAGGGCATCGGGAGGAAAGCACAGTGGGCGAGAAGACCGGGTGGAGGTGGACAAAATTCTAGACGCGTTTTTTAGCTCCAGAGACGCTAAACAGGACAAGAATCAAACGAGGGACCCCACCAATGGATTGCTCTCCGAATGAGGAATCCATTGGTGGGGCCACACGTTCGATTCTAGTCCTGTTTAGCGTCTCTGGAGCTCAAAACGCGTCTAGAATTTTTGCCGCCTTCACCGGTTTTCTGTGCGCACCTTCGGTCACTCTCGCACCCCTGGCCGGCTGGAAGTGTCGAGGAACGAACTGCGAAAGGTGTGATGCTGTCTGGAAGATGCTAGCTCGTGCGTGAAGACATAGTTGCTCGGGCTGCTGCGCACACTCGTTGTCGAAACTTGCCAGACGTCGCGCTAGGGTGCCCGCACTGCAAAATGGTGCCGTTGCAGCTCGTCTAGTCTGCAGACAGATTCCGGGAGTCGCTTTCCTCCTTTGACAGACACACCAAATGTCATGGGGCATTTCTTTTTTTCTCCCTCCCACGTGAAACGCAATTATACGCTTCAGTTCTGCTAGTGTTCGCGTCCCGTGTTTTTCAGGCCACACAGGAACTCAAAACGCGCCTCTAGTTATGCCCACCTGGTCGGAGCCGTTCTCGACGTACTCTGCGCTGCTGCACCGAGTCCATGCTCGTTTTTGTTTCGTGCGCGCGCCGCGCTGCCGCACTCGACGTGTGCTCCACGCCTGTCGGCGCCAAACCCTAATGATTGTGCACCGAACGAACGCGGCAGCGCCGACGCGCCAGGATGAATGAATGAATGAATGAATGAATGAATGAATGAATGAATGAATGAATGAATGAATGAATGAATGAATGAATGAATGAATGAATGAATGAATGAATGAATGAATGCGGTGGCGCTGGCGGTGCAAGCAGTCCCTTAACGCCTCAACCGACGTACGGGCGTTTGCAAAAATGAGGAGTGCTTCTAGGCCGCTTGCCGCAGCCCAGCGCAGCCTGGTGACAGCCCCGAGAGATTAAGTAGAAAGGAAGAATGAATGGGCTTTGCGGGAGGGAAATGCACATCGCGCCGAACTCGGCGAAAGTGATTCTGACTCCCCCGCCCCCTTTTTTTTCGATCGTGACCGCAGTCCCCCTCTCGTTGCCTGACGACCGCCCCCACGCATATTCTGTCCTCGATATGTACGATTGCTCCATTGGAGGGAAAACAGAAACGGCATTATCGTCTTCCGAACTAGGACCAGTCTTCCCCCGGGGCAGTAGGCCTTCAGTGGGGAGTCTTTTGAGGTCCCGGTCCCCGGTCCGCATGTTCTATACGGTTGCTTGCTTCGCGCGGACGGCGGCGTTTTCTGCGCAGGCTCTGCGCTCAAACGCCCACAACAACTACTCTGCAAACTCGAAGGCGAGAGAGAAAACGAGCCACCCTAGGGAGGAGAGAAAAAAAGAGATAGTTCGTATGGTTTTCACACTGAGAAAACCTTACAAACTATTTTGGGCCTTACAAAGAAAAGTAGTTTGTATAACAAAGTGTTTTGAGCATACGTAAGCTTACAAAGAAAATACTTCGTAATTTACAAACTATTTCTTCGTATAACAAAGTATTTTAGTTTGTTATATGTATGCTCAAAATACTTCGTAAGGTTTTAAGAGTGCAGAGTGCGCGGGTGGGCGTCTTTGTAAAATAACTGCCTTTGCGGTGGAAGTACGCGACGCGACGCCTTCACTCGTTAGCAGGCTCAACGCCTCGCCCCCAAGAATGGGACAAATGAGGCAATACAGACAGGCGCACGGACGAACAGACAGACGGGCAGACAGTCTCTCTGCAGACGAGAAGGGATTGTCGGAGGTGCCCCAGCTTAAAAATCCACTTGCTACTTTCTAGGTGGAAAACGTAAGGTGGAAATGGGTCAGGTGGAAATGGCTGGGTGGAAACAGTTTACAAGGTGATAATTGGTTACTTTTACAAGGTGGCCCTTCCATCCCAGGTGGAAATTGTATTTTCCACGTTGCAGTGGATTCCACCTGGGTGGAACATGGATTCCACTTGGGTGGAATAAAATTTCCAGGCGGAATATGAAAGAGTGTTTGAGTCCATCAGTCAGCCCTCGGTACGTCGCCATTTCAAGGGGAGAATGATCCTTCCACCCTAACTTTTCACGCTACACCCATTTCCGCTCATAGATTTAAGATAGCTATGAAGGTTAACATATTATTGAGGAAATCTGAAAATGGCTCGGAGACTTCAACGCACGGGCAATAACAATACCAGGTGGAAGATTCTAATTTCCACTCGGAAATTTTGCCCAGGTGGAAGAATTATTTCCACCTAGTAAAGCTGGGGTGGAAATTTGCGACTTCCACACGGAAACCTTGTCAAGGTGGAACAGATCGTTTTCCACCCAGATAACTCGGGGCGGAAATCTACAAAGCCCACGTGGAAAGGGGTCATCCACGTGGAATTTCCTTCTTCTCAAGGTGGAAACGCCCCTTTCTAGGTGGAATGCGCTGTTTCCACCTCGACTTCATGAGTGGATTTTTAAGCTGGGGCCTCGGCTCGCCTCGGCCCGCCTTGGCTCTGCTCCTTTCGTGCCGAGACCAGGAAGTTAATCCTGTTAATGAGCCAGGGACCGCAAGCCCATGGCATGCCAAGCCACGCACCTTTCCTTGTTGCAGTGGTTGCAATGCCCCCTCCCCTTTGCGGGTCCCACCCGGCGGCCAGCCGAGCCATAAACAGTGGTGTCGTTTCGTCGCTCTCTCTCGAAACCCCCGCCGGGACGCCCCATCAGTGCGACAGAGATAAAGCGATGGTCGTCGCATTCGAACTCAAAACCTTACAAACACTTTCTTAAGCCGTTAGACGCGTGGCGGGTCAGGAGAATATTTCGACCAAGCTTCAGCAATTTTTTAAAGAACCACTTTGACAAATTCTTATAGTGAGTGAGTCCCAATCGACGCCACAGCATCGTTGCCTTACTGAAATCCCTGCTCGCAGGTCATCATCGCCCTGTGGCTGGTGTCCATGTGCCTGTTCGCGCCGCTGCTGTGGGTGCTGCAGACGGAGCCCGTCAACCTGGGCGAGCCGTTCGCCGAGGCCGTGGAGACCAACGGACTCAAATTCTGCGTCGAGAACTGGGGCAAGGAGGAGGACGGCTACCGGAAGAAGGTGTACGGTGAGTGCCTGTCTGTCTGTCTGTCTGTCTGTCTGTCTGTCTGTCTGTCTGTCTGTCTGTCTGTCTGTCTGTCTGTCTGTCTGTGTTGGCGCTAGCAAAGCACGCGGCGAGTGTCACGATGTCGCGTGGGTAGTGTTCCCACCCCCAACCCAGTGGCACAGTGGGCCAGAAGACCGGTGGAGGCGGTCAAAACTCTAGACGCGTTTTGGGCTCCAGAGTCGCTAAACTTGACTCGAACCGAACGTGTGACCCCACCAATGGATTTCTCTACGAACAAGGAATCCATTGGTGGGGTCACACGCTCGGTTAGTGTCTCATTCAGCGACTCTGGAGGTCAAAACGCGTCCGGGATTTCGACCACCTCCACCGGTCTTCTGACCCACTGTGCCCCAGCCCAGGAGGCAAGGTAGCACTGTTTTCTTACTTCTGAGCAAAGCGTGGCCGTTTGCCTACCTTTCAGGCGGTTGGGGGCAATAACCCCTCCGGACCTGTCCGTCCGTCCGTCCGTCCGACCGTCTGGTCATCGGTCTGTCGGCCTGTCGAGCTGTCTGACCGCGTCGGCTGGGCGACGCAGTGGGCCGGAGCCCCTGCCAGGGACGGCCGAGTGAAAGAATTTGTTATTCAAGCACGTGTTGGGGCACTCCGTCGTCGCCGTCCCGGCCTGGGGGGGGGGGCGTCCGGGACTGGTCCCTCTCGGAGGCGGCCCGTCCCAATAGTGTGGAGCCCCGTCAGCATCGTCAGGGTCTCGGGGCGCGGTGGACGGGGTGGACGGGGGCGGCTTAGCATGAGGTTCCAAAGGAGACAGAAAGACGGAGGGGCGCCATCCCTTTTATTTTAAGGGCCACAGACCTCTGCAGTGGGCACGTCGCGTCGCGCCGCGTCGCGCGCCTTGCCCGGGGTCAGTGTTCCTCGGAATATCAACGCTCGCCTTCGTCGTATTTATTTCATTTATTTTCGCGGAGCGCCCTGCCACGCCGCTAATGGTGCCGAATGCGGATCAAGTTTGAAAGCGCAGCGAGATCTTCGCGTGGGAAGAGCAAGCAAACCGTGACAATCGTCGCGGACCTCGAGTGGCATGTTGTTGTTGCTGGCGGCGTAGAAATTGCACCGCCTTCATGTTGTTGTTGCTGGCGGTGTTAGAGAATCGCACCGCGCTCATGTTGTTGTTGCTGGCGGCGTAGACATTGCACCGCCTTCATGTTGTTGTTGCTGGCGGTGTTAGAGAATCGCACCGCGCTCATGTTGTTGTTGCTGGCGGCGTAGAAATTGCACCGCCTTCATGTTGTTGTTGCTGGCGGTGTTAGAGAATCGCACCGCGCTCATGTTGTTGTTGCTGTTCCAGGGGCCTTCTTGTTCACGCTGGTGTACGCCATCCCCGGCACCGTGGTCATGGCGGCCTACACCCTGATGGGGCGGCGACTCTGCGCCGTCAAGCCTCCCTTCGACGAGAACTCCACGGCCGGCAGCGCCAGCTCGCAGCAGGTAAAGCAGAGAGAGAGGCCGTTAGAACCACGTGACGGGGGACATTTTGCTTCCCTTTCCCCGCCCCCTCCCCGCGCCTCTAAAGCGGGCTGAGGTCTCTGAGTATCTCTGATATCCCCCCGCAGAGTGCCTCTCCCTCTGCGTTTGAATACATACGTAACTTCCAAACCTCTGTGCGGAGAGAAAGACCCCCAGCGCTACCCCCCGCGCACAAAACGACGAGCTTCGCTCGTGCGTGGAGTATCGTCGACTTTTCTGTCTGCAGACTGATTCCCAGAGTCGTTTTCATCGCTCTGTCTCTCACAGGTGTGAGGGCGATAGAGGGCAGTCTGCAGACCTCACGGCAAAGGCAACGACCGTGGCGCTACCCCCGTCGCGGGAGAACGCCGTGGCGTGGGGTAGCGCCGAGGCGCTTGGCGACACTGACTTTGCACTCCTTCCTCTCCCAGGGCTCGCGGCTGGTGCGTGAGCGTCGCCGCGTGGCGCGCATCCTCCTGGTGCTGGCCGTGCTGTTCGCCATGTGTTGGCTGCCCTACAACGTCACCATGCTGGCCATGGACCTCCTCGGCCTGGAGACGCAGCAGTGGCTGCTCACCGTGAGTAACTGGAACAGAAAAGACGCGTTCTGAGCCACACTCTCAGGATCTAAAAAGCGCACGGTCACTAAAACGGCAAACAAACAACACCCGGCACAGTTTGTCTCGTTTTCGCGCGCAGAATCATGAATGGGGCGTTGATCAAGCCAAATACCCCCGGGACGGCTTGACCCCCCAACTTGTTGAACTCGGCGGCTCAAATGTTGGCAGATGCTCCTTTTTTGCGGACCGCGGCCGACGGCCTACGGCCGGCCCTCGAGCTTTTATCGCCGTTTTTACTGCTGCTCGGTCAGACTGAGGAGGTTAAACGAAAGGCCGTGAAGGGCGAGGCGCTGGCGACGCCATGGACATCATGGACATCATGGAGCGGATTCCGCGGCAATCAAAAGCCAGACTGCAGCGCCGTGTTTGGGGCGCTTCCAGAACCGCCTAATCGTGGGCCAGAAGGCCGGTGGAGGCGGCCGAAACCCTAGACGCGTTTTGAGCTCCGGAGTCGCTGAACAGGACTCGAACCGAACGTGTGACCCCACCAATGGGAGAGCGATCCGTTGGTGGGATCACACGCTCGGTTCGAGTCCTATTTAGCGACTCTGGAGCTCAAAACGCGTCTAGAGTTTAGGCAGCCTCCAGCCGTCTTCTGGCCCACTGTGAATTGACAGACATATTCTACTTATTTACTTACTTAAGTTACTTTCTTTTACTTTACTTTATTTACATTTATTTAGTTCTTTTCTTTACTTACTTTCCTTTACTTATTTACTTAATTTTATTAACAGCTGCTGCCCTTCACCCTGCTGCTGGGCCACTGCAACTCGGCCATCAACCCGCTGCTGTACTGCTTCATGACGAGGAACTTCCGGCGCACGGTGCGGGGCTTGCTGACGCGCCGCCGGCCCCGGCCGCTGGGCACCCGGCCGCAGCAGCGATGCAAAGTAAGCACCACAGAAGGCCGGGGGCCGGGGCTCACGGGGCCGACGGGGCTCACGGGGCCCACGGGGCTCACGGGGGCTCACGGGGCCCACGGGGCTCACGGGGCTCACGGGGCCCACGGGGCGCGCCGAGAACGGACATTTCAGAAGCGGTAACGTTCAAACGTAGTTGATGACACCCACAAAAATGGTTTCTTGATTATCTTGGTTTTTGTAAGAAATTTAAAATCTTGACACTAGAAAATTTTTCTTCATACAAGGAAAAAAGTTTGGATAAAGAAAAATTTTTCTTGAAAAGAAAAGTAAACAAGAATTTTTGTTGATCCAAGAAGTCATTTTTTCGGGTGCACTCTTTTTGTAGGTCGGGCGCATCAAACCTAAAAATAGTGTGCGTCTCAGGGTTTAGTTTGGGGCTGAAACCAAAAGCCGTGTGTGGAAGATATTTCAGGAGTGGCCAGTCGTCACTTTTTACAAGTTTTTAGCCACCAGCAAGACTTTTTAAGGCAAAAAGAATTTTTTTCCAAAATCTGTGACCCTCTGCTACTTGATTCCTAGCCGCTGACTTCCACAGCCTGTTTCCACTGAGGACACGAACTGAACCGAATGAGACACCCCGGGCGTTTCGGTTAGCACTCTGACGAAATTGCATCGTAAGAAATTTAGAGTCTTGGGAGACTTGATTTGCGCACCGGGAGAGGGCGAAAGGAAGGTCAAAGTCCGGGGCCTCGCGCTGAGGCGAGCCTCACGCAGGTCCGGACGGCCGGGCCGGCTGGGGCTTGCGGTCTGCGGCCGCCCCGTCCACGAGGCCCCACGCGGGGCCGGTCGGGCACACATGTTTCATGAGGGTGTGTGGGAGGCCCGGTACCCCGTCAACACACCGCCAATCCCGATGAGAACAGGGGGTCAAATAATTCACAATTACGTCATTTTCACTTAGGCTCAGTTTGATGTCGTTATTTTGACTTCCGTCGCACAGTGGGCCAGAAGACCGGTGGAGGCGGCCAAAACTCTAGACGCGTTTTGAGCTCCAGAGTCGCTAAATGGGACTCGAACAGAGCGTGTGACCCCACCAATGGATTCCTCGTTCCGCGAGCAATCCATTGGTGGGGTCACACGTTCGCTTCGAGTCCAGCTTAGCGACTCTGCAGCACAAAACGCGTCCGGGATTTCGACCGCCTCCAGGGCTGCGCCTTGACCTAAGGGTGCTGCAATGTGGATCGTTGGCGCTAATCGGTTCCAGATTCGAGCTTGCCCCCGCACAGCCAGCGCCACCTCTTCGAGCGGCTACGATTCGTATCACAGCCCTCACAGGCGGTGCTACGTGCTAAGGCTGCACACCTTGCGAGACAGTCGGGCCCAAAACGAGGGGAGCGTCTGCGACCCGCCGCCCACCAGCACGCGCCTCACCCGCCTGGGCAGCCAGCGCAGCCAGCGCACCAGCTTCAGCAGCAGTGGCCGGGAGCAGCAGCAGCGGGACCGGGACTTGAGGGACTTCCGGAGTGCAGGCCGGGCCTGCTGCCTGGACCGGCGCTACCTCTGAACAACCACCACACCATGGAGGACTCGGTGTCGTCGCTGCCGGCCGACGCCGTGGAGATGCACGCCCTCAAGCTCACCAACGGCAGCGTCGTGCAGGACCACGCCCAGGACCTCGTCCAGGACCACGGCACGCCCTGAAGGGACCCGGGTTCGAGTCCCGCCGTCCGCCCTGGGAGTGGCATCACGGGGCGTCGGCCGGAGTGGCTCATGCACATGTTGGCCTCAATAAGTCCGTCACATTGACTCGCGCGACGCGAGCGAGGCCGAGCGAGGCCGGGCGAGGCCGGGCGAGGCCCGTCAAGGCCTTTCGGGAAATCGGTCCCCTCTGCGCCGTGAAGCGCGTCGACGCCGTCGTCCTCTCTGGAGCGCTCGCAAAGACCCGTCGCGCTTCCAGACCGCGTCACTAATCTATGTGGAATAACAATTTAACATCGCGAAGCCGGTTGAACATGCAAAAGGCACAATCAACGGCGGGTATATCGCGAGACAGAGCCGCATTCCTGTTAATATTGTCAGGGCTCGAAAGGCGGGAACACAGATTTGATTTGAAAAAGGTTCAACCTCTACGATACAAACAAGCTTTTGTCATTTTTCATATCTCCTCATTCCGCTTTTAATGTGATTTTAACAATCCGTTCTCGAAACTACAATGGTTTACGAGAAGGGACTATGTCATGGAGAGAGAGAGAGAGAGAGAGAGAGAGAGAGAGAGAGAGAGAGAGAGAGAGAGAGAGAGAGACTGCATCCTGAAAACTACAGTGCCAACAGGTGGGTTGATGTGGGATTGTTAGACGTTCGAGAATCAGTTAGTTACCACATTGTTTTGGGCCACGGTTAAGCGTACCTTTTAATCATAGTTTAACTTTCTTAGCATGTAAGGCGAATCTGCGCTTCAAATTTATTCACCAGCTAACTCCCACTGCTGTGGTAGGTGTGGAAGGAACACAGTGTTTGAAGTGAACACAAGGTTGGCCTGGGCGAAGTTTATTTTACAATGGCGTGCCCATTTTTCCTGTGATTTTAATACTTTTAGAAAGTAATGTGTGCTGTGCTTGCTTCAAAATTAATTTTTGACCTTTTGGAAGAGGCAACCTCTTATTTTGTGATTAAGTTGAGGGTGCAGAGGCGATAGTCAGAAGAGGCAACTTCATCTCTAATTTCTGTTCACCAGTTTGAATGCCTCTTAATGAAGATGTGAATGAGTCGATCTTGTATGTTCGAAATCACCACGAATTCTGACGGGCAGGGACGTTTCGCGAACTACACCTGTGACGAAAAAAGTTAATGAGTACACAACTTTTTGAACTTTATGTCCAATGTTAGTACATAAATCCCTGTACAGTTTTTGTTCATGATATTTTTTCAAGATAATAAATGCCAGTGCATGCTGGAAAACAAGTCCCCAAAATGTGTTTTTTCTCTCTTTCTCTCAAAATACAGAACTTTGTAGAGTAAAACGATGAATAAAATCGGCGCAATTCACTACGGTACCAATCTTACCTGATACTTACTGATACCTGAGGTCACCTGTTTCAAGTCGAGTCAAACTCACCGATTGTGCGTGTGAAGGTTTTGCCTTACCCGTGGCACCCCCACATTCTGCGCTTCACTCTCTGGAAGAAAAACACCAACAAAAAAAAAGCACGCACGGAAAGTGTGGAGGTTGTTGCTTGCGCAACTCCACACAACGCGAACGCGGAGGGGTGGAGAATCCCTTACGCAGCAAGGGCCCGATGCCCTGGGGTCCTTCGCACTTATCGCAAGAGAGAGCGGATCTCGATATCACAGAATACGTCCAGAGCCAGTCCGAGTCCTTCTTTATTTGCTGATACCAGGAGCACGGTCTACTTGGTGATGCCTCTCCAGGAGTCTACTTGGTGGTGCCTCCAGGGGTGGACTTGGAGGACTCCAGGAGTCTATTCGGTGGTGACTCCAGGAGTCAGTCTACTTGGTGGTGCCTCCAGGAGTCCACTTTGTGGTGACTCTGGTAGTGACTCCAGGAGTCTACTCTTGGTGGTGCCTCTAGGAGTCCACTCTTGGCGGTGCCTCCAGAGCCTACTTGGTGGTGCCTCCAGGATTGACTCCAGGAGAAGGAGTCTACTTGGTGGTGATGCCGATGATCATGTTGGCCCACTGCCACCAGATCCGCAGCGTGGAGGCGGCCCCGGGGATGCTGACTGCCCCGAAGCCCTTGATGCTGAGGTGCGGGGGCCGCGCGGCGGCCACCACAGACACCAGCATGAGGTCGCGCTGCAGCTCGAAGTCGTCCTGCTCGAAGGCGGCCTGGAAAGCGTAGTCGCTCATGGCCATGCTGGCGTCCGACAGCTCCTGGCTCATGGCGGCCAGCGGGCCGAACACCACCGAGAAGAGCAGCAGTGAGTTGAACAGCGTGGCGTCGAGGCTGTTGAGCAGCACCTGCAAGCATGTTGCACACGACCGGGCGTGCCGTTGCAGGCAGCTGGGATTAGACCTAACGTGACACTCATCAGAGGTCAAACATTCCTATGACGCACCAGAGCACAGTGGGCCAGAACACCGGTGGAGGCGGTCAAAATCTCGGACGCGTTTTGAGCCCCAGAGTCGCTAAATGGGACTCGAACCGAACGTGTGACCTTACCAATGGATTGCTCTCCGAACGAGGAATCCATTGGTGGGGTCACACGTTCGGTTCGGTGCCCGTTTAGCGGCCCAAAGCTCTGCGGCACAGACCTTGAGCGTGGACAAGAGCGGTGCCACGAACGTGACCACCATGAGGTGGCCGAGGACGTCGTAGAACAGGGCCTCCACCTCCTTGGCCTGCTCCAGGAGGCGCTGGTGCAGCTGCAGGAAGAACAGCACCTGGCGCCGGCCGCGCGCCGCCCGCAGCCGCAGCCCCACAGCGTAGTACAGCCCCACCAGCGAGATGGTCATGCAGCCCAGGATGCATATGAGCGACATGTACGCGAAGGTGCCCGTCGTCTCCACGATCCCCTGGAAGAGGGACACGGGTTTCTTTCTTTCCAGAGGGTTTCCATGTGATAATTATCGCGATTTCTGCATATATTACTGTGTAACGTCACTCTTAAAACCAATACGTTAACTGATCTACTTACACACCTACTCTGTAAATTCCTGTAAAAAAAACTAGCTTATAACAGTACACGCCTCAGTTCAGGCACTTCCGTTCAATGCTTACTGGTCATAACAAAGTTTTTTTTGTTTTTGTTTTTTGCGAATGCAAACGGTGTGATTCGGCTGTCTGTCACCTGGAAGTTGCACTCGAAGACGTGCCCCCAGTAGCCGGGCAGCGCGGGCCACATGGGCGCCAGGGGCTGGACGGTGAGGGCGATCTGCGCCCAGGCCGCCACCAAGTCCATGGCGGAGAATGCGAGCTGCACCTTGGTGAGGCGCTTGATGTAGGCGCCCGCGCGGCTCAGGGAGCGCTGTCCACATGGAAAGCACAGCGGCGGTCGAAATCCAGGGCGCGTTTTGGGCTCCAGTGTCGCTGACCAGGACTCGAACCGCACGTGTGACCCCACCACTGGATTCCTCGTTCCGAGCGCAATCCACTGGTGGGGTCACACGTTCGGTTCGAGTCCCATTTAGCGGCTCTGGAGCTCAAAACGCGTCTCGAGTTTCGGCCGCCTGGCAAATCCACTGTGTACCTGCCCCTCCGCGCAGGCCTCCCCCTCCATGGTGGCGCCGACGCGGCGGATGGCCTCCAGGATGTCCAGGATGCGCCGCCGCCTGAAGATGAGCACGGCGTTGCCCGTGGCGCTGGAGTAGAAGCAGGACGTGTAGATGATGGCGTCGGTGGCCCCGAACAGCGTCTCGGCCCGGAACAGGCCCAGCAGCATCGTGAAGGGCGCCACCGTCACCGTCAGCAGCCACAGCTGCAACGCGTGCAACGCTCTGGCGGACAGCTGGCACTCGAAGACAACTTCAAGACTAATCTCTCTCACACGAACACGAGTATGTGATGCAATAGTCATGTTTCTCAAAGCTGACCACGGCTTGACAACAATTTTTGACAGCTCTCTCTCTCTCTCTCTCTCTCTCTCTCTCTCTCTCTCTCTCTCTCTCTCTCTCTCTCTCTCGCACTCGCCTTGCTGCTGAGGACGCGCAGGAAGACGCGCGAGGGCCGCAGCGACTGGTCCGGCGTGAGGATGACGAGCCAGCGGTGCAGGTGGCGGGTGAGCGGCCCCGAGAAGGGCTGCCCCCGCCCTCCGGTGTCCGACACCTTCATGCCGCTTGCCCCGCTCGCTCTGCTGGCCCTGCTTGCTGCACAGTCCCACCCGATTCGCTGTCCCCCTCGTCGGCTACAAAGTCCCAGTGACCCTGAGACGTCCTGGCACTCGCCGCCGCTTCCGCCCAAAGTTAGACCCCCTATCCTTCTTCGCCCCGATTCGACCCGACGCCCCATTAAGATTGCAGCTTCCCTGTGCATTATTGGCCACGTTCGAGGATTCCTGGTGCGTCCAAGTCCTATCGACGCAATAGACACCGCTGGAGGAGGGACGTAGATTTTTTTTTTGGCTGAAGCTGTGCACCGCAATGTTAGCTACAGTGTTTTTGATTTTCACCTGGGATTAGATTGACTTGAATAATTGAACTTGCAAGGAAGAGCCTTGCCTTTGTATAGTGCTAGACTAGCTTTCTAAACAGGTCCAGGCCCACTGTCTTGTGTCTGGGCGACTTCAAGAACCCGGTTCACTTCGGGAAAACCAGCAGCCCCGGGTCGGCGTGAGAAGAGACCTAGCGACTGACGGCCTCTAGGTCTCCAGGCGTGAGTCGGCGTGCAGTGTGGTGGCAACAACTTCATCGACACTCTTTACCTACTTCCGGGCGTGCTGGCATGGCGCCCCGCGGCGGCGGACTGGGCGGACTGGGCGCACGGCAGCGCGCACGCACGCGGTGGAGAGTCCCTTCAGCCCCTGCATGTCGCGTGCGTGCGCGCGCCTTGCGTGAGTAACGAGCCCGATGCAAGTGCAATATGCAGGAGGAGCTGGCTGCCGTGTTCGGTCCCAAGCCCTTCCGCAGAAGTGCATCGCTGCAGTTCCACCGGTGGAGGGAGGCACGCTTCAGCGAGTGTGTGCTTCGCTGGTGCGTCCACAGAGACCTCGGCCTCGAGGTGCATCCCGATGAAGGTAGGTTTTTGTGACAGCAGAACTGCCAAGAAGTCTCTCCGACTGAACTGAGACTCGTTCAGTAGTAATCCAGTTATTGAAAAAGAGTTTCAAACTTTATTGAAACAAAAGCAAATATCTCACAATATTTTCACACGTGATCACATCATGATCGGTGGAAATGAAGGCGTCTAAACGAGGTTTCCCGAATACGACGTCTACAGTGACAAACGTGCTCGGTGCTCGGTGCTCGGGCCAAAAAGAGCTTCAAACAGTGAATAACTTGAAGCCAAAAAACAACACGTCGTGGCAGTCCCAGGATGATCCCAAAGTGCAACGGCTGGATGAGCGCCAGAAGCACGCCGTCGGCAGGGGGCTGCCACGGCGGGCACATGGCCATTGACAGCCCGCCGGGGCGCCGCCGCCGCCAGCCGCGCTCGCGGTCCCAGCTGTTGACCTGCTCGACTATCAGTCGCGGCTTCTCGCCGCAGTTGCACGGGTTGCTGTACACGGCGCGGCGGTGCTGCCGTGGGGCGCGGTGAGCGCGAGCAGGGCGTTGGTGAGGCATTTCCAAGCGCAGGTCGTTGGTGTAGTCCGGCACGTCGTCGTCCGAGAGCACCGTCGCCCACATGACCACCCTCGTCAAGGCGGGGATGGTGGTGACGGGCACCGCCCGCTCCAGGTCGCCGACGGACTCCGCCACCACCAGGACCACGGCGTCGTTGGCGGTCATGCGCGCCGTCGCGTCGCGCCACTGGTCGGGGTCGACGGGCAGGAGGGTGACCGCCGCGGCGGGCGGCAGGCCGGCCAGGAACGGGCCCAGCCAGGGCACGGCGCCGACGACGAACAGGCGGGGGTGCAGGCTGCGGCCCAGCAGCGGCGGCACCAGCGACAACGCGCACGCGGCCTCGGGCGGCTGCTGCGAGCACGGCGGCGGCAGCGCGGCGCGCGCGCCGCACGCCAGCATGGCCAAGAACAAGACGGCCAAGCTAATGGTGGAGGCCACGCGGGAGTGCACGCCTGACACGCTGTA